CATGACATCAGTAGACTAGCAACTTGGTTTGCTAATTGCATTTTGACTTTCCCACAACACAAAGAAATCTCTCTTCAGTCCAGAAAAAGATGGTGGGGAACAGTAAGTGATAATAGGTATTATAAAAGTATCTAATAATCGTAAATGTAAATGTTCAGTACACTAGTATTAGCATTTGTTCCTAAGCGCATGATCTTTGAGTTTGAACATACGATATCGGAAAAGACTAGTATTAGCCGTTAAACTCTTGGAGAAGGTTGGAAATGCTGAATATGGGGACACGTATTGGAGACGGTATGGCTCAAGCATGTGAGCGTGACCTCTCCATATAACCTCTTGCTTTCTATATTAAATATATCTTTCCATCTCTAACCTGGATAAGTTTGCCAAAGTATCTTAAAACCTACAATGCTGACTGTCGGGTAGAATGGATCGGCAGTGTGATCTCCACATAACATCTTACTGATCAGGTAGTTACATTGTAGCAAACAAAAAATTATGGATCAGTTCTGCTTTGCTAGTATCGGCGATAAACTTTTTTAATACCTACAAAGACAGCGATCTGACAATGGTACTGTTAATCACACCAGTAAAAAAACATTTGCTGTGTGCATTGGACTACGGAAGCTAAAATTATATTGGTGATGGACGTGTAGTTGTATCGGTTACTAACCACACGATTCCCAAAGATGAACATATAATTATTAAGTAGACTGACGTTCAGCATGTAACACTTAGAGTAAGTCGTTTACTGTGAACGCTGAAAAAAGAAACGAAGTGGCATGAATCGGTCAAGGAGGCGAGGTTTCTATAACCTCATTGTTTTTGTACCATATATATTACTGTACTTCAGCTTAAATAAGTCTTTTGGAAATGCTCGACGTCACACTGCTGATCATCGCGATAAGATGAGTCAGTGTAGAGAAGTATATGACTTTCACGTAAGATCTTATAGATTAGGTATTCACACCATGACAAATCTACGATTTTGGGTTTAGATCTTCTATTATAGTGGTATTAGTGCCGAAGGGAACGATAATTCTATAGATGTACGTAATCCCTCCTTTAACCATTGTCTAAAGAAAATACATAGACCACAAAAGCGACAACTCGTTTCGTCAACACCAATGACCTATAATTTCACTTTCAAAGGGAATGAGAAATTACATCAAGCATAACTCTGACTATGCAGATCATTAACGCAGGTGATCTACATCGACGATTGTAAGATTACTCAAATTTTTACGGGAACGGTGTGATTTCCTAGCTTACAATGAGGTCACAACATGTGGTTAATAAATAACGTGCATTTACTCCTCATTGTATTCATGTGGTATGGCTACCTCGATTTCTGTACAACACAAATTAAGTTACTACAGAAATATGTTAGTAAGAGTAGTAGTAGTAATAGTAGTAAGAGTATATAGAGAAAAGAGTGCAACCACGACTATATAACGCAGTCCATGGCATGAAACTAATTTACGCTCGCCGGTTGTCAATGGTATCGGTGAAGATTGACAAACTGTTTGATATTTGGTGATCTTGTAACGGCTTAGGTTAGTTGCTTAAGAGTTCACCTTGTAGGAAGCAATTTCCTACAGATTCAACTCTAAGCTAATCCCTAGACTGTTGAATACAGAGTCTTGGTTCAGCCAAAGTCAGAACAAGTAAGCAATTTGGCTCGATAAACTTTATCTGTTTCTAAAACGTAAATTAACACCATTAGTGTACAAAACAAACAGTACAGTCTGTAAACACAGGGAAAAACAGAGACATAACACACCGAACAGTAGCTAGAGAGTAGGAAAAATGAGTTAACAGAGCAAATATTGTTTTATAATAAACATCGAATTGTGATTGGTGAATAAATAAGACACAGTCATACAAGGTCAAGAAAAGTTAGTGTGGTGGTGAGCGTTTCACGTTACTATTGGCAAGTTAGTTTATCGATCACATTTTACACACCTCAAACAACTATACATATGTCAAAACAGTATATTTCAAGTATTCATTCACTTCCTTATTTTGCATAGGCGTTATATTTCCTGTTATCTTATATTGAATGTTAAGAGGCTTTGTTTGTCTGCAGAAATAATCCCACGCTCTACTGTGACTGCGCGATGATCTAAATAAATACCTATTCACTACTTGTCTGGTTTCTTCTATCGATAGCATGAGGGTTACCTAGAGGCACAAAAATCCCACTGTCGGATGATTTGATCAGGGCACAATAATATTTTATTGACCCTATAACAATTTCCAGTTATAACAACTGATATGAAACTTGAGGCCGAAAATCTTTGGAAGCTATTAAAAGCTTGCACTGTATTTGTAGACCGCCTGAAGTTCAAAATATTGTTGCGAATAACGGCTTGAAAAGTTAGACCACTTTACTCTCTTTGGTCACAGATTAAGAGGTGACGTGATTTTGGCGTACTGAATAATAGGAAATGATTTTGGACCTAAGATATCCTTCCCTTTTCTTTCCACTATATCTGGACATTTTAGAGGACATAGCAGGCGAGTAGAAAAGCCGAGAACGAACAGAATACCCGTGGCATTCAGGTTTTCATAGCGAGTCATAAATTCTTGGAACCTGTTACCCAAAACAGTGATGTTCGCTCCTTCAATTGACTCATTCAAGAGAATATTAGACAGAGAAGATTGCTAGAAAGAATAACGGGCCTTAGGCCTTCTGTCCTTACTGCATAAATCTGAATTTGGTTAAATCATACTATAAGATGACGAAAGCAGTTAAGAAAGAAATGAATAAAATGTAGTCACAATATTTACCATGTAAGTAAACTGTGCACAAAACGTTTCTGTCCAGGTGCAAATGGAAGGCGGAGCTATTTCACAATAATATAAAAAAGCTATTTCTCTCTTTAAAATAATAAGGAAACCCAGAAGCTGTTAAAGCGTAGGAAACACTTCTGGGAATTATTCTTGTTGATAGGTCATGCATCATTTAAGCGTGAGTACCAAAAATTCCGGAATATTTGTAAGAAATCCGTAGCTAAATCCCCTACCACTTACGAACGACAGTTAGTATATGATAGCCGTACTTGTCCGAAACGATTCTTTTCGTATGTTCAACGGCCAACAAAAGATAGTGATGGTACTCCCCCGTTACTGTTACACGAAAACTCAGATTTACTAGCTGAATCAGATGGGACAAAAGCTGAGACTTATTCAAACTATTTTAGCGAAGTCTACTCTACGTTCATTGTAACAAATACTTGTCCCACTCACACCGAGATACTGACTATTGAATCCTTACAGGTGACTGAGGAAACTGTCCTTCCGTTTATAACTAACCTCAAACCTTGCAAGATACCGGGTCCTGACGGGTTACATCCACGGCTGTTGTCATCTCTTGCGGACATTATTTCCAAACCGCTCGCGACACTCTTCAACATGTCCCTTTCACTCGCTCAACTCCCTAGAGACTGTAAGGACGCTATAGTCAGTCCTATATTTAAGGATGGTCAGAGACAGACAGTATCTAACTACCGGCCTGTTAGTCCAACTACATAGTCTTTAGGTTACTTGAAAAAATAATTCGGGTTAGGTTGCTAAGCCACATAGATTTACACAATCTGTTAGCTCATGAGCAACACGGATTTCGTAACAAGCGTTCATGCTTGACTAACTTATTACGAGAGAGGATTGGACAGCAACCCTAGATAACGGTCTATCTGTCGATGTGATATTCATAGATTTTAGCAAAGCATTTGACAAGATTTCGCAGATAGATCTTATGCAGTAGCTCACGAGCTTCGGAATAATAGGTACTGTAAATGAGTGGATAGGAAACTTCTTATGTGACCGCAGACAAAGAGTGAGGGCCAAAGGAACGCTATCCGATTGGAAGCCGATCAAAAGTGATGTACCCCAAGGCACCATCCTAGGTCCTCTGCTCTTCCTTCTCTACGTTAATGAGTTACCGCTGTTACTTAGGTCGTCGACATTATTGTTTGCGGATGATGTAAAAATCTGGAGAACAATAAAAGGTGCAGCTGATCATCTGGATCTTCAAGCTGACTTAGACGATTTAGTTAGATGGGCTCGACAGTGGGGCTTAGAAATCAATGCTGGGAAGAGTGTGCTGATGCACATCGGTCACGGTAATAGTTACCGTTACACTATTGAGGGTAAACCTCTTCCATGCGTTCAAGGGCATAAAGACTTAGGAGTAGTATTAATTCATGATTTAAAAACAACTACGCATTGCAAAGCAGCCGCTGTCAAAGGTTTTCGTGCGTTATGGTCACTTCGACGAGCGTTCAAATCTTTTGACCAGGAAACGTTTCGAATTTTATATCCCACCTACGTTAGACCACACTTAGAGTACTGTATCCAAGCAGCTAGCCGGTGTCTGGTAAAGGATACTAACTCACTTGAGCGAGTCCAGCGTGTGGGAACGAAATTAGTGAAGGGTTTTTCTAAACTCCCTTACGATGAGCGTTTAAAACGCCTAGACCTTTTACCCTTTTCGTATCGTTGGACACGAGGTGACCTTATACTGGCATTTCGTATCTTTACTTATGATTTGGGTGTTAATATGTCTTATCTTTTTGCTCCCTCCAGCACTAATAATCTCCGAGGTCATAGCAAGAAGGTTCACAAACCGCGAACTAATAAACTTAAACTGGGGTTCCGTTTTTCTCATCGAGTAGTCAATTATCGGGACGCCTTAGCCGAACAAATGTTATCCGTCCCATAAGTGAATATTTTCAAGGTGAAACTGAACCTTCACTAAAAGGCAATCTGTCAGGATGAACACAGTTTCACTAACCTACTATCCTTATTACTGAAGACTGAAGACTGAAAATGCTCGATAACTTGTTCACCCTGAAACTTTAATAGAACCACATTTACTCATTGTCAATAATAGTTTAATGTCGAAGAAGAAGTCCACTAATTCTGAAGAATGAAGTTTAATATATGTTATGACATTGTGTCGTTCTTTAACACTGCGTAAACATATTTGTTTCTCTATGCTATGTTGTAGGTCGAAATACAGAGCGGTAGATACACCAAATTCTGAGATGGTGCGTGTTGTAATTAAAAACCAGGTTTTTGAAGTATCCCCTCGTTATACTGACCTAAATTATATTGGGGAAGGAGCGTATGGAATGGTTGTGTAAGTCCTGTCAGTTATTGTTCACGTACAAATCAGTGATGCTTTCGACACAGTAAGAGGTGAGAAAGTTGCCATTAAGAAGACCTCACCTTTCGAACATCAAACGTTCTGCCAGCGAACATATCGGGAGTTGAAGATTCTTCTTGGATTTTCTCATGAAAATGTACGTTTAGCTATAGCTTATTATAATTTTCGTTAAGAGCACTTGGTAATATGTAGTAATCTAATCTATAAGTACGGATAAACTTTACATTGCACTAAGATACTAAGATTTCGCACTTAGACCGTCTTTTATTGTCTCGTGGGCATTGTGTTTATTGTCCCGAGCTACCAAGTTTGGGGAAGTTTTGGAGTATTTTGGGGAAACTCCCGAAGTCGAATGACCTTCACCAATGTTTGGTAAAATTTTGCGGAAATCTCCAGAGCCAGACGACCTTGATCAAGGTTAAAGGGGGATTTTCCCAGGCCTGCCGAAATTCTGAGGTTTTCGTGTCATTTTCCCAAAATTTCCCCAAAGTTCACTATAGCGGCTTCCCCAAAATGGGTCAAATTTTCCCCGAAACCGGAGCTCGGCGTCATTTTCGTTCATGTTCGCCTTCAAATGAGAGCTAAGTGAATACGTTTTTTAAAGCTTGTGTATTAAAACCATACTACTCAACAACAACTATCAGAGGCTTCTGTGTTTCTGAACTTGCCTAAGCAATGTCTTTATGTTATGTCTGTTGGAAGTCTGAAGTCTTTAAATAGCAGTTACGAGTTCTCCAAAATAAATCTCACTTTCCTCAGTCTCTTATTTCTCAGGTATTTAATAAGATAAAAACTCCTTTGTTGTAAATCTAGGTGTTTTTAGGTGTCTTAATAAAGCCAGATATTGAAGTAATAAATTTTTTAATGTTGTGTTCTCCTACTTTCCCCACACAATACTTGGAAGTCGGCTTCTTAAATACAAATATTCGACGACATTCCATATTTTGTGTTCGTTCAGTGTTTTCCGTATATTTTCAAGAGGTAAGTGATAAAAAGCGATTTGGAAAAATGATAACGAAAGTAGAAATTTAAAATCTATTTGATACAATATCATGGAGCTCCTCAACAGTGTGCATCCACGAACCCAGGATCCTCGTTCTCGCGCACGAACGCTTAGCCTATAGAGCACCTAAATGCCCTGGCACGACCGTGGGTCTGGAGAGTTAGCTCTCCCTCTCGAAATACTGTAACATGGCCACGCGCATACAACCACTGCAATTGAAGTCCTACTCACTGCCTTCTCGCGGCATTACTGTTGTTTGCGAAGTTGAGAAGACGAAAAGCGAATGTCCGGTGCTCTAACCGGGTTTGTGGGCATGGCGGATCCACCTAGAGGACTTGGAAAACCCTGATCCCAAACCAATGGTGCACATGGGCCCCAGGATCCTGAGGGAACAAATGGTGTATGAACCAATCGTTGGTCACTAGCTACCATGGGACTGCATCTTCTGACGTTGCTCCACCGCCTTGTAGATTAGACCTATAGGTAGAAGGCTCGGATAGTGGCCTCCTAAGAAAACCACCTGCTTCGGTCTGTGCACCCAGGCAATATCACAGCCCACACACAAATCGAATGATGAAGTGCGGCGCATATGTATTCGGTGCTTCTTTGTACCAATGTGTTCAAATAAATAATTAAAAATTACGGTGATCAGTCAAGTTGTAAATGGTATGAATTAGAATCACTTGAAACTGCTACCTATTTCACAGTTTAGTGTTAACGATTGAAAAATTGTTAAATTGCGTGATTTTAGCCCCTAGTTTTATTCAGCTATTATAACCGTGAATTTCATAGCCTTGTATCCCCTTATCTCACAGTCTGACGTAAACTGTCTGATTTTGAACTTTACGAAATTTCACTGAAACCTTTTGGGACTAGTTGTTTTCAGATAATATAATTCAAAACCGGTCACAACAGTGCAGATATATTCATTCCTAATCTTGTTTTTGAGTTCCAGTATTCTTCCATACATGCCTTTCAGATCGTATTTTCAGTGTTCGGCCTTTCCTATTGTTATTATTCCTGCTACATTATTTCGATTCATCATTCGATATTCATTTCTTTAGAATTTATCTTGTCTTCCCGTCTTAGCTTGGTAATGGACCGACCCACATATATGCCGAGCTTTACGTTGACCATAACTGATTCACTGCCTGTTTGTTTGCCTCACTAAATACTCATTTTATGGGTTTTACAAGTGGTATAAAAAGTGTCATTTTCATCTGTCACCATAGTCACAATTATCCGTTTATTACTCGTAGTAGGTTGGTCATTGCAGTAAACTGTACATGAAGGTTGTTAGATTAGTATACATTAAACTTTACCAATGCCTCTAAGATTTCCATTGATATCAGCTGTTGCAAATTATTTAGCATTTTTCGTGAACATCCAGTTCTACTGTTGATGGACATGATCCATAGTTAAATTTTCTCTAAAATCATATCAATCAAAACTCAATCTCTCTTTTACCCTATTATCTAGATAATTGATATCAAAAATATTATACTAGTCGGAAACACATTAGAGGATATGAAGGATGTGTAAGTTTGTTTGCTTTATCTAACCTTTCCCCCTAAATTTCAGTTATATCATTCAAACACTAATGGATACTGACTTGTATAAATTACTGAAAACACAGGAGCTGTCAGGAGAACATACTTGCTATTTTTTGTATCAAGTACTCCGAGGTAAAAAGAAATCGCTATCCGAGCTGATTTTACTATTTTTTGTATTTTGTTTAGGTCTCAAATACATCCATTCTGCAAATGTTCTGCACCGTGATTTAAAACCATCTAATTTATTGCTAAATGCAAGCTGTGATCTAAAGGTGAGCAATCTGTCCATGAATAGCAGTCATTCTGTAACCCAATAAACACTCACAGGTTTATGTATTTATATTTAACGGTAGGCACATTCAATTGATTGGTCATATACGTTGGAATCAACTAGTGAATAATAACAAGAACTGACTTAAATCAATAAATAGCGATCGTAAGTCAGTTGATGAAACAACAAATCTTCGTCTACTAAAGTTGCTGTAAAATTGTTGTCTGCCCACTCACCACCCGTCTCGATTTGAAAGTAGGTTCAAAGAAAGTTAGATGCACCTAAACCAAAACAAGACATTAATTCAAAGTCATTGATTATTGATCTAAGACTTGCAGTGAGAGGCAGACTTCCCGATAATCGTAACCAATATCGGACGACCCTAAGTTATGTAACGCAATCGGTTGCGATGGAGCAAATATATTCGACTTTATCTTAATTTGAACCTTGAGATTTTATGTCGTTTTTTACATTTTATTTCTCGATTACATGAGCCAGTATTAATATTTTTACCCGTTTGCTTCTCATCGCATTAATTTCTCCCATTGTGTTGATATAACATGATCATTTAGATCGCTACATATCTCTGCAAATACCGCCGTCGTTTGCGATTCACTGAATGCCTAAACAAGCTATGTCATATACATAGTTTGAGAGTCATCCGTAAAATCTCATTGCCTATGGCCTAATGAATAAAATAAGCCTCAAATTCACTAATGGTTACGAGTTTTGTGACGTAACCAATGATCCACAGCCTTATCATCCTGATTAACTATTCTGAGTAGCAATTCAGAAAGCGTTGCAGTACATTGTTTCTTTTTGAAGAGCTTGATGATGGTTTATTATAAACGCAGCTAGATTACCACCTGTGGGTAGTGGTGGTGGTGTTTTCGTTAAAGCTTATTTCAGGTGCTCGATTTGGGCAATAGGATAGTATCATTAGCATTTATAAAAATAGCTCAAAATTGAGTAGATTAACTTGTCAATCAGTCACTTTATTTAGTATTGCTAGTTAGAATTTTCGGGAGGGTTGTATGCCTTTATGTAAAGTAAATAAGTTTCTATAGAATAGGAGAGTAAAATAAAATGCTTTGCTGTAAAATGCACTTTTAAACTCAATTATCTATGAAAAAATTACACCACTTCGACTCATGAAACATGTCTATCAAAATGGAATTGGCACATTTTAGTATTTCTTGTTTGTTTTAAAATAATTCAAAATGCCTGGTATCTTTATTGCCGTATTTAATCCCCTTTAAGTATCCCATTTAATTTACATCATTTGCATGTTTCATACTTCCCCGAAAACTACAAAAATCTAGTGTCTTCTTGTTGTGAAGTGTTAGAGATAAGTGAATATTTGTATATCTGAGTTGTATTAGTGAGGACAGTAATATGGTAGGCAGGGTCTACTCTTCCATAGCAAGTACTACAATGACTTAATCTAACCTGATACATTAGTATATGATACTGGAAAAGGCAGTTTTGCCTTATATTCTTGAAACCCGGTTTTCATCAGGTGAGGATATCTGTGGAGTGAGCTTATAGTCACCATTACCTCTGAATGGTCGCATTCAGTAGGAAGACCGTTTAACTCATTTCGAGGTCAGGTACTGTGTAATTAGGTATGATAAATATTGCACTAATCAATTACTAAGTAGTAGTAGTAGCTAGGGTTGTGTCCTAATTCTTACTGTTAGTTAGATTCTGTCGATCAAATTTGTGTAGCTGTTAAATGAAGTGACTCGACATCACACTGTACTACTTTGTTTTGATGTGACATAGTTCTGGTCAGAAACCCTTGAACTTCGATTTTGTGCTAGTTGGGACTCGTTTATATATTAGATACTTCGGTTAATTAGAAGGTATTTTTGTTGAGTTAGGATCTGATATCATATCATGACTCCCTAGACAAGGTTATGGTGATTTTGTGGCATTCTCGTTTGTTCTTTGTAGCTTATTCCTCAAAATACTCAACATCTAAGCATTGTGTTACATGTTCTGAACCTTGTCCGACTACTTCAGTTCGCTCATCTAAGAATTACCATTTCCTTCATGTTAAGTATTTCTCGAATCTATATGTGTAAACCTGTGTTTGGTTACTGATTTTCATCAATTAATATTTGCTTCTTGGTACCAAATGATAATAACCTGGCTCAAGTATTTCTCATTAACTTACATGTATCTCATCTATCATATTTTCATTTACTCCGCCACCCACGCCATCTGTTTGAGGTCTGGTGATCCCACTTAGTTGAGTGGATCAATGTACGTAGAGTTTGGTTCAAACCTTCTACTTATTGGTTAAAATTCAAGTTTAAAGCAATTAGTCCCTTTGATAATGTAATAACATTATCGAAATCAAAATTCAAGTGCTTAAATCATTAGGTCGCCGCTTAACAGTTGATTATCATGCCTAAAAATGAGCATCATGTTATTTGTTTTTTTTTAAGCGAAAGCTTGTTGGAGGCTCCGATAAATACACCATAGTCTTTATAATCTTTTTGTTTGTCCTTATATTTTCAATCAACCTAATTTTTAGAAAATATGTATTCAGACTCCAAAAGCAGCTTCAAAGTATGCCACTTTTAAATATTTGGGTTGAAGCCTTAATATCTACAAGGCAATAAAGCAACATGAATAGTCATATGTTAATACTATCCAATAATTCTGTTAAAATTGTAAGTTTAAGGTTGTGGAGATTGTTAAGTTTTACTGAAATTATGAACCTGTAAGCACTGGACGACAGTTTCTCCGCAGTATAGGACTCCTCAGCAGTGTGCATCCACGACCCCATCACAGGGGTTCGAGCCCAGGATCTTCGGTCCCGCGCACGTGCGCTTAGCCTCTAGAACACTGAGCTGTCATCCAACTGTTAATGTCTAACTTCAACTAATCCTTCATATTGCGCGACCACTTTCCATTGTCCTCAGTGAGTTTCGCCTCACGCTGGATACGGTTGAACTTCACTGGTCATGGATTGAAGTTAAGGATTAACATAGTTGGATGCCGACTCAATGGTATATAGGCTATTTATTTATTTGAACACATTGGTACAAAGAAGCACCGAATACATATGCGCCGCACTTCATCATTCGATTTGTGTGTGGGCTGTGATATTGCCTGGGTGCACAGACCGAAGCAGGTGGTTTTCTTAGGAGGCCACTATCCGAGCCTTCTACCTATAGGTCTAATCTACAAGGCGGTGGAGCAACGTCAGAAGATGCAGTCCCATGGTAGCTAGTGACCAACGATTGGTTCATACACCATTTGTTCCCTCAGGATCCTGGGGCCCATGTGCACCATTGGTTTGGGATCAGGGTTTTCCAAGTCCTCTAGGTGGATCCGCCATGCCCACAAACCCGGTTAGAGCACCGGACATTCGCTTTTCGTCTTCTCAACTTCGCAAACAACAGTAATGCCGCGAGAAGGCAGTGAGTAGGACTTCAATTGCAGTGGTTGTATGCGCGTGGCCATGTTACAGTATTTCGAGAGGGAGAGCTAACTCTCCAGACCCACGGTCGTGCCAGGGCATTTAGGTGCTCTATAGGCTAAGCGTTCATGCGCGAGAACGAGGATCCTGGGTTCGTGGATGCACACTGCTGAGGAATCCTATACTACGGTACTTGCAGGTTCTGTAAGGTTGTCTAACACTAGTCGGTTCATGGTCCCAATGAAATTATGTCGCGTCTTTACAAAGGACCCAGATGCTCTATTTACAGTTTTGGTTTAAAATTTATGTTCCTTCAGTGAAGTAGCTTCATTCACTTATTTGGCGTTAACCCATGTATATCCACTTTCTCCCTAATGTTTTTGTGAAAAAAACACTCTTGACGTAAATATTGTCACTAAACTATTTGTAATTTCATTTATGAATAGTCTAACTGTTCTTAAAACTTGGCAGCCAGATTACTGGATTTTTTCGTGGAAAGTGTCTTGGAAAGTTTTCTCTTGTTTTTTCCTTATAGTAAAATAAGGGTGATTTGCGAAAACGAATCTGGACTCGTAATAAATAAATCCCTTTTAACTTTTTCCTATTATTTAGATCTGTGATTTTGGATTGGCTCGAGTTAACGATCCTGAACATGATCATATGGGCATGCTCACCGAATACGTCGCTACACGATGGTATAGAGCCCCAGAAATTATGCTCAGCTCAAAAAGCTATACAAAAGCTATCGATATTTGGTCTGTAGGTTGCATTTTTGGTGAAATGCTAAATCGTCGACCATTGTTCCCCGGGAAACATTGTATCCTTTTTTATAATTTTTTTTCACTTTGTTCACCTCATGCCGATAAGCATAATTAGTGTTTTCATTTGCCTTAGATGATATATTTGCATTCAAGAAATGAAGTAAATTTTTTGATGGGCTTTGATAGTCTATTTGAACTCATGACGTTTTTTGTTAGTTGAAAGGTTCTATTTGTTGTTGCTCAATAATAACAATGAATATTATTTCAGTTATCTTAATTCAAGCGCATGTACTATTGTACTCGACTTTTTATGAATCTAAAATATTCTAAATTACAAATGGTGCGATAGTATTATTGTCTTGATAAAAGCTCGTGAATAGTAGTATATTTTAATAGTTTATCGGCTGAGTTTTCTATGTTACCGTACAGATTTTGAACTAAACTGTAAACAAAAGTTTCAAAATGTTTAATCCAGTTATGTAAGTTGTCTAGACAGTGATTATTGATTTCTTCATAAATAATCCGTTATTTCAGTATTATTTGTATAATAAAAAAATCATTCAACACAAGTAGTAGATAATATCTGAAAAATTGATAATCTATACAGTACATAATTAGCTGATTTAGAATTTAGGTTAACAGTAAGTAGTGCACTGCTTAGCGTTTTTTTAGCGAGTTAGTTTTCTACGGGATGGGGTGGCTAACCCCCATGCCCAACCCTCCTTTATCCGGGCTTGTGACTGGCAGTAGCTCCAGAGGGGCCCCAGGCTCATCAGCATATTTACAACTGAAGAACATCTGGAACTCAAAACAATCGTCTGTCAACCAACACCAAAGTCAGGATTTTCTATACAAATGCCAAGACAGTTCTACTGTATGGGGTGGAAACTTGGAGAACTACGAATGTCATCATCTAGAAGATACAAGTGTTTATTAACAGTTGTCTACGCAAAATACTTCGGATACGTTGGCCAGATACTATCAGCAACAACCTACTATTGGAGAGAACAAATCAGATCCCAACGGAGGAAGAAATTAGGAAGAAGCGATGGAAGTGGATAGTACACACATTGAAGAAATCACCCAGCTGAGTCACAAGGCAAGCCCCATATGGAATCCTCAAGGCTAAAGGAGAAGAGGAAGACCAAAGAACACATTACGTCGAGAAATGGAGACAGATATGTGAAGAATGAACAACAATATGATAGAACTGGGAAGGTAGGCTCAGACAGAGTGGGTTGGAGAATGCTGGTCGGCGGCCTATACTCCGTTGGGAGTAACAGGTGAAAGTAAGTAAGTAGTGTACTAGTTTTACCTATTCAACTTCGTGATATCCCTAGAAATTACTAACAAACAAGAAATAGGTATATGAAGAGAGTTATGAGGAATTTGAATAGTGTAGTATCTGAAATTACTTATCTTATGACTTCTACTAATTGCGTTATTCATGCCATTGTGATATATGTATATACTTTTTCAATTATGACAAGAATAATGGGACTAAAATGAAATAAGTATTATAATATATTTGTGTATTTGCAGATGAACAGGCCGTTGCCATGTGATTAGATATATTATTTTAAAATTACACTTGATTAGAAAATAAATATTTTACCATTTACATTTATAACTTAAAGGTAGTCTTCGTTATGGACTAGCGTCAACTAAACAACCCTCAGGAATTAGGGATTATTGAACTGAAGGCGTTCCATCTGAGTTTACGGTATATCATCATTGCGTACCCACTATCCTTCACGAATTATCGGGATCAAGACTAAAGTTTTTGAGCATGTAATTTAGTTAACATGATCAGCAGTTCAGAATGTAGTAATCTACATTTTTTAAACTTCAATCAATTCGTAATTCAGCGCAATAACTATCTAACGTCATTTTGATACTTGATTCGTTCTTGATGCAGTTTTCAGTCCACAATAAAGTTTGATGTCAAGCTAAATCAGTCCGTACAAACTACTCAAATTATGTTTCTATTAAAGTCAAACGATAGCTAGTAATGCGATCAGGAATTCACGTTTTGTCTTATTTGAGATTCATCTGTTGGATTTAACTGTCATATCCCTGTGCTAATGTTCACACTGAAACTCGAATGTAGTAACTTTCCCTTCAAATTGTTAAACTCCTTATCTTATACTTCTATCAGATGTTGAACAACTAACCCTTATCTTAGGAGTTTTAGGATCACCAAGCCGTGAGGATCAAGTTTGGATAGTAAATGATAAGGTCAGTTTTTTTCTCATATGCTTACTGGTTAGTCATGTAAATAAAAGCCAAGTTATCATCTATTAATATGATTTAACTTTATTCAATCATATTATATATAATTTATGTGTCTTTTGTTTGATGCAGATAACAGGATTTTTTGGTTTCATAGTTTAATTATTTAAATTTCACTCACTAAAGACTACTTTCTCTACTCTTTATTATGATGTTGACAACTTTATAGTAATATTTTCAACCGAATAGCTTAATTTTCTTGTGACTATTCCATTGCAGTCATTAAATGATAACTTCATACTATAGAACAAATATATGTCTATTTGGAGTGGGTTTTGTGGAGATTTTAGTAATTTCAGTAGTTGAGATCATTAGTCAATTGAAGCTAGGCCACCATGGAAAACCTGGAAGCACTGGACAGTCGTTTCGTCCCATCATGAGACTCCTCAGCAGTGCGCATCCACGGCCCCGCCTCGCGAGATTCAAACCCAGGACCTACTGGTCTCGCGCGCGAGCACTTAATCACTAGACCACTGAGCCGGTATCAACTAATTCACGAAGTTGATTGACACGTCCACCGTTGTCATCAGTAAGTTACTATTTCACGACTGACTCGGTTGAACTCCAGTGGTCACTGCTTCTCACTAGAACTCCAGGATATACGCCTTGAAGTGATTGGCTTCACTGCTGAGGAGTCCCACAATATAATGAAACGGCCGTCTAGTGCTCCCAGGTTTTCCATTGTGATCTCGCTTCAATTGACTCATGATCTCAACAATTGATATATCTATTTTTTATTGTCTGTTTTCTTATCTCAGTGCAGAAACACACATACATGTTTGATAGATATAAAGGTTGATATATTTAGCATTTTTAGAAGGTGTGTTACACATACTTAGTCAATCTATCCAGAAGCACTGTACTGACCAGCTTTAAGGTTGATTGTCGATAAGGTTAAAAACTGCTAAATATGTGGTTGATAGAACCTATATACAATTGTGTCATGTTCTACATTGACTTTGAGCGACTGCCTGAAGAGTTGTAGGGGAATGATGATTTTGTGATTTTTAATTCGCTATATTATCTTACTGTATTATTGGAGATCTTAAGTGACATAGTTGTAGACCAGTGGTAACGAACCAGATTCACACATTCTTAATGTTTCTCTAAACTTTTCAGTTTTGTATTACCCTATTCACTTTATTTAGTTTTGTTGAATACATTTACCGATGTTTCGTCTTTCAATACACCATTTTAGCAATTTATAAATATGAATAAAATAAATGAACTATGCTTATTATTAGTAGCTTCTCTCCCTTAGCTAGATAATTGTTTGTCTCTTAAATTATTGATTCTTCTTTCTTTCTAAACAATTTAATTTTTTGCATAGGCTCGAAGCTTCGTGGAGAAGTTCAAAAATAATCCTCGTAAATCATGGAAAGATATTTATCCTTCGGCGGATGCTAAAAGTAAGTTTTTTGTTATAATCTTCATATTCATGCAACCATATGATCACCTATGTCTTCGAGATCCATCTTAACATGATAAATCAGGTTTACGTTAATCAATACCACTCATTAAGATTCACCAAGAAGAATTCTGTAGTGTTTCTCTAGCTCAAATGTATTATTTCATCTATAGCCTAACATCCTAAGTTTTGTCTGGTCGTAAGCTTGAACTGGCACAATTGACGTTGAATTAAACCCGATATAAATCTTAACGCTTATTTTCCATGGTTCCGTTTGTTTGGCTGATAACTAGAATGGAACAACAAAACACCAGACAGTTCCGAAAGTACAACTTTGCTCAGTATCCACCCCGTTACAGCGCTTAGTGTATTAAACACGCCCACGGATATATGTATATAAATTGACGAAGTGTAAAAATGTTTCTCTTACTAAACACTCTTGCTAAACATATCCGGCCACACATTTATTATTATTATTGTCATGTAAATTGTCATAATTTCATGCGACACAGTCTGAAGTATTTTGAAAGGTTTATTTTTTTTTATTATATTGGTTGATTTAATGCTATATGTCTTACATATGACATTTTATCAATTTCAACTATTTTACTATATAAGTATATTACAACGGAAAAACGATCAGGACACCAGTGAAATTTTAGGTCACGTATTATATATGCATATATCACACGTTACTAACTAATTGTACTTATATCACAACAATCAATGAATCTTATTCTTTTTATTTTGCATGTATTATGCTTGTGAACTTCATGGTATGATTCATGTATTAAGTTGCATCAGCGTACAACTTGACTTCATTAAGCTTATATAACTTATTTGTCAGCTAAATATGTATAGATTCACCTTCGAACCACACTAATTATTTAAGGTCTAGTGCTAATATCCGAAAACTCAAGTCAAAGTATATAAGTGAACACCGAATATGCAATAGATTTGTTAAAACGTAAATGTTATTAACTCCCAAACCACTGCTTCATTGTCATAATCGTGTTTAACTCTTTACAGATATTAATATTACGGTATATTGGTAAAAATTATTTGAAAATGTTTTCAAAAGTTGGGAAAAGATTGAAAATATTTCGTCTAATTCAGCATTCAATAGAAACTTCCTTGGCAGCCCTAGAAAACAGCAATGTATATATATCATATACTAGGCTATTCATGTCACAAGTACACATATAGGTCCTCTCGTTTTCTGTTCCTTAATATTGAAAGTAAAACTTATTTTGATGCTTCTCTCGCCTTTTATCTTCTGCTCAGGGCTCCAATGTAAGTTTTCTGGAGGATTAAAAGGTGGTTAAAAAGTCAAGTGTCCAAATATCAGATATATCAAATATCTTCTTGACATTCATCCTTTCATCTCCATTTTACATTCTTTTTCCTTCTCTATCTGCTAGAATGCATAGGGAGTAATTTCACTAAATTATTTATCTGTTTTTATTTAAACTCTTATTGTAATTCATTTAATAAGGGTAACTTCATATACTCACCTTAAAGTCTTGATTTATTTTGTGTTTACACAATATCTGTGGTATATAGTACACAAATAAGTCGATGGTTACTAAATTGTACTATTATATTGCTATTGTAGTTCAATGCGTATACAATTCTTCAATGTTTTATGTAAATGTCGCCAGTTCAAATCTTTTTAAAACCCAAATTTTCTTCAAACTCTTATCACTTACCTAGTGTCATTAACTGAATATATTAAGAGTGTCTTAAGCTTTCGAGTTGAGTCATTTTTTATAACTTAACTGCCTACAATTATTGTAACTTTTCTGTTTGAATCAATTTTTTGTGGCATCGCTTTGGGTGGCGCAGGTACATTCACTTTCTTTCTTCCCTTAAATCCTAAGTTTCTCAATCCCGCATAATCTGTTTTTATTTAATCCGACAATCTCGTCTCTGAGCCATTGGATATTGCGGCTTGAATCAATGTATACATGTGCCAGTTTCTACTTTGCGTCTGACTTACTGATCATCACTTTGGATTCTTTTGTTTGTAAAACTCACTCTTCTGACTTCTATTTGTTTTTTATTCACAGCAATCGACCTGCTTGATCGTTTATTAACATTCAATCCAACCACACGTATTACCGTTGAAGAAGCCTTAGCTCATCCTTATTTTGAACATTACTATGATCCTAGTGATGAGGTAAGATCATTAGTGTTATAAATAAAAAGTTTTCGTCTCCAAAATTTTGTTCGGCATTTATTTTTTTATCCTAAACTCCGGTGATAATCAAATGTTTCGACAGTCGATAAAGGTACGCTTTCTTTTCAGCTTACGTTCCATATCTAATAGGTTGCTCTAAACAATATTTGATTTTCATGTTTGATGATAAATAATTTCAACGTTTTTTTACTGACAACTCACTTTTTTAGATTGTACATTTAAAATCAGAATTGTTTTTAACATACCCATTGTTACGGTTTTCCCTGCAATAATATTCGAACTTGTTGCTAATCCAATCATCATCATCATTGCATGAATGCGTATCAGTTCAAGTTGTCACACCTCTCAGATTAGCACGACAGAAAAAATTATCAAGATCTAAGAGGTAATAAAGAATTATAATCATGACAAATAACTTAATCAGTGGGAAATATAATTCTTGAGAAAGAAATGTATACAACTAATGAAAAATTAGGAATTCAGTTCAAATCGAGTTTTTAGAGGGAGATAGAGACTGAATGCAGTTGCATCCCTGAGGCTTGAACTTCTCCTATGACACCCAAGTCCAATCTTTGATGATGAGTTTTCACGAACCCTGACCAAGAAGATGTTTCTGTTTGATTTTAATCCTTCCTTTTTTAATTTGAGACCAATAGAATGAAGTAGTGCGTACAAGGAGAATACTAAGCAGTATACGACATAATAAAAACTTTTCAACTGGATTTCTAATTTTCAGCGCCTAAATTATAGGAGTCCATTTAAAAATCATGAGATAGGCTATGTGTCCGTGAATTCATGGTGCAGCTGTCTTTCTATGCTCCACATGTGTGCAATATCAACTATTTTCGTAGATTTCTCTATTCATTTAGCGTGTAGTTATTACAGACAAATCCATAATGTTCACTGTGAATTTCATTTTATACTCTAATTTTCACTTGGTTTGTTTTCTTATTCTACAAATTGGGATACACTATAGTAATCTGTTCACAGAAGACTTATATAGATTAGCTTGAATGGAGTTCCCAGTGAAAATCATGCTCTTATGTATATTACTCAACTTAGCAAACGAATGGAAAAGAAACCTAAATATTTATTTATTTATTTTAACACATAGATATTGGTACAAGGAGGCACCAAATACATATGCGCCACACAAATCTCATTCGATATGTGAGGGCTGTGATACTGCCCGGGTGCCCAAACCGAAGCACGTGGTTTCCTTAGGGGACCACTCCTCGAGCCTTCGACCTGAAAGTCTGATCCACATGGCAGTGGAGCATCGTAAGAAGGTGCAGTCCCATGGAAGCCGGTGACCAACAATTGGTTCATACGCCATTTGTTCCCTCAGGATACTGGGGCCCATGTTCACCATTGGTTTGGAACCCGGTTAAAGCGCCGGACATTCGCTTTTCGTCCTCCCATTTTCGTAAACAACAGTAGTGCCACGAGAAGGCAGTGAGTAGGACTTCCCTGGCGGAGGCTATATACGCGTGGGCATGTGAGAGCATTTCGAGAGGGAGAGCGGACTCTCCCCACTGTCGGCCGTACCAGGGCATTTGAGGGCGACCTAGATATTGCTTCTTATTGAACATTGAAAAAAAACCGATAGCTAATTTCACACAAGAATCTGTTTGTTATATATTTTTTTAAAAAGATTCAACAACATTTTCTATTCATTTTGGAATCCATTGTTGAAATCTTTCTATTAATAGTAATATGTATTTTGTCTATCTCTTCACTTTAGCCTGTTGCTAAAAAACCATTCAGTTTTGAAGAAGAATTAGATAATTTACCTGTTAGACAATTGAAAAAAATGATTTTTCAAGAAGTCAGTCAATTTCGTGAACCAGATTGAAGTTCTCTATCGCTTATCTATCTATCTATCTATCAGATGTTTCATATATCCTACAAGCTGTTTATTTGATTGTTTATTCATTTAGTCAAATGTGTTGTTTACCACTGATTCGATTTAGTAAAATTTGTAAACATTCCACCATATATATATATTCCAGAGACTACTGCTATGTGAAGAATGTCCTTTAAATAATACACTTGCATAATTCCAACATCCTACCCCTCTCTCTGCTGCTGTGTTCCCATAATAAATTACACCTTTCTTTTTTTTTCGTCCAACAGATATGTATTTGTCTCTCTTGCCTGTTGTATTTCATGCATGTTCACGTGTGTTTGTTTGTTTTTACGTTTTTCTGTTGGTCGATTATGTTGTCATTTTATCTTTTATCGTTTTGTTTATTTGGTTGTTTGTTTTTCAAATAAAAATAAGGGACTTCATCAATTTGACCTAAAAACTTTTTCTCCTAATAATAATAATAAGGATAATTTTTGCTAACCATATTCATCTTGGTGTAATAAACAAAAATTGTGCCTTAATTAAACGGTTATGTTGTATTTGTACTATTGTTCTGTTCAATCCGTTCCCTATTGTGAAAAATCACATTACCAAATAATTTATATTCATTCTATAAAAGATTCTTTTATGGATGTATTTTGTGTGTATACAAAAACAGTTATCGATTCTATTGAACGTGTATTACTCCTTTTAGTCTTGTTTGGTTTTGTATCCTTATTTTTCGATTCTATTGTTTATTCTCTGTTATCATTGTAGTTTTTCTCTGTGTTCGTTTTGGACAGCTGTGTATACACTGATACATATATATGTTATACATAGCTACTTCTTTTACAGTTTGTTTGTTTTAATTTTTCGATATAAAACATTCATCAACTCGTATTATTTCACCATTTGTCTTTCCGTGACTTCTATATGGGGTGATGGTGGCGGCTCTGCGTCAAGCGTATTACTTGTGAATGGGAAAATTTCTCATTTGATCCTTTTATTTGAGAAAAATAACTTATTTATCTTATCAGATCGTATGGTTATCCTCTACTTATCATCATCATCATAATCACTTCTCGCAATTGACTATCATATTTGTGGTTTGTTTTGTAATTCACTAACTCGTCACCTAATGTACACATAAACAAATCTGTCTTAATTTTTATCCTATCAGCCCCTTTCTTTTTGTTATTTTTGTTGTCATCTTCCTTGTTTACTGTCTTTCTTAATGAGTACAATTATCATCCTTTCTTTGATGCCCTACATACACAAACATTTTTATATATTCTCATTCTTATCACAACCAATAAATATTGTATCATTACACCATTTTATAAAGTTGTTTAACTCTTCTGATGTATTTATTTTTTCTGAATACACTAACTGTATTGATAATAGACGTTTTATCTCATAGTGATAGTGTGTTTGCGTGTGTGTGGACTTGTGGATATTGGTATATCCACCACACACACATACAATATCATATCAACCAACCTACATGTTGTAAATTCTTATCATGTCATATGTCTATACCTTCAGTTGTTGTTTTCGATTATTTTTCTTGGTTTATCTCTATTTTATTACTACAAGGTATGTTTACATACATATATATAGTTTCGACTCAAGCGCTAACATTATTATTATTAATAATACTGACGAAGAATCCCTTCTTGATACTTAACACATTTGTTCACTGTTGAATCAAGCTAGTAATTGGGTTACATCATTAACCCATCAGTCAAAATGTATACTAACCATTACATACTTGTTGAGATACATCCCATATATACCGAGTTAATCTGATTTATGCATGTGCGATGATACTTGGATGTTATTAGCTTATTTGTATAACACGCTTCAATATTATCGCACCTTTTTTAAAAAAGAAAAAGTATACAGAATAAACTATCCATAAATGTTAATTACTGTTATTATTATTATTATTATTATTATCAATAATAACCTTTCTTTATATTTCTGTTTATAATACCCCTATGCTGTAGAATATATATGTATACTATTTTTTTTAAGAGTTGTAATGGTATATTGTTGTAAGTGTATTGCTATGCTTATTGATGATAATCAGGAGGGTGTTAGTATTAGTTATTTATAGGACTGGTTGAAATAATTCCTCTTTCGAAGTATAACTGAGAGTTTTGTGATTCATGTATATAAGTAGGTGTATTTTTTTTCTTCATCTGCTCATGAGATTGTTGCATGTTATTAATATTATAAATTGATCTAAATTAGAAATCCATTGAAAACCCGGAAGGATTGATCAATTGTTTCATAATACTATAAGACTCCTTAACAATATATTCATCATCCTACCAGGGATTAAAGCCGGAGCATTCATTTTCACAACGAACGCTTAACTTTCAGACTATTGATTTCGTATCCATTGATTTGCATGTCTAACTTCAATTAATTCATGACATTGCAGTTCAATGCTTGGTTTTACTGATTTCTCTCATTATATATCTCTACAAAAGTGTCAAAACGTTCCTTTTCAAGGAAATGCTGTTTTGTAGACTAATTTTTCACTGGAGTTGTGGGTGTATCGCTAAATTGTCTTACAACAGATTCCTATTTTTCTCGAGTTGACATCATTTTGTAACTTTAATCACCATCAAACTATGTACATCCTTAGATTGGTCACTGAGTGGTGGCCAATATCATGTTTGTCTAGTCTTTAGTGCAGATCGGATTTTGTCGACTAAGTTGCAATGTGACCATAGTCCAAGTGATTTGATAATATGTTTTGACGCTGGGTGGTTAAGGGTATTTGGCATTGATCGGCAATGTGTACCTGTAATCCTGATGGAATCGATGCTGCTTGTTGGATAGCAACCCAGATCACCTAGCTTTATTGTCTGAAACTACCACTTAGCCATATGGATCGCGAATAAAATTCTGTAGGGTAGCGATATTCACATTGGTAATTGACCAATGAATATCGGCTAATATCATATTCTTCTAGTCCAGGACCAGCTTTTGGATCCCATTAGGAGCACCAGTCCCGTGAAGATTGAAGGCACACCTTACTGACGTATCCCAATTAGCACAAAACCTGGGTTCAGGGTTCGCTGACGATTAACCCTGACCATCCAATATCAAAATGTAAACAGACCTTTCTCCAAAACATCTTGGTAATTAATTATATTTGTGGCACCGAGAGATCATGAATATTCCAAGACAAACGTGACTTAAAAATAGTTCAATCATATGTACATGACTAACTGAAATATTTTCTACCAAATAGTTAGTTCGACACTTCATATTTGACTTATTTGCATTTTTTCTCTGTTAATTCAATAATATGTCATGAAATCAATTGATTTATCTATACTATACTGGACTTCTAAGATTTGAGTCTTGTTTTTAACGTCCCTTGGTTCTTTTGCTAATTTGGAAAAGATACCATTTAGAATAAAGGAACAAAACAGGAAATATACACCGTTCATATTAGGTTGTCATTATTTATCGATATTTATAAAAAATTGTCAGTAAGGGACTGGAAATTGTCGCATTTCATTGAAATCATGAACCGATTAATGATAAACCACCAAAAACCTGGGAGTACAGGACGCCCGTTTTGTCTTACTGCGGGACTCCTCAGCAATAAGCATCTGACTCCGCACACGGGGATCGAGCTCAGGATGCGCCCTGCCGAGGAGTCCCCTATCGCAGGTGTCCAGTGCTTCCATGTTTTCAATGGTGGTCTGTCTTTGATCGATTCGTGATCTAAGTGATGCAAAAAAGATTAGTTTTTAACGTTCTTACCATCACTTCCAATAAAGTTTTCACATATATGATTGTGTATGTACATAATTCTGTTGTTTCGACGTTGATTTGCTAGATGAGGCGAAAACACATCAGTTTCATTTGACAGTGGCTAAAATAATTGACTTTCACAATATTTTTGAACTTGATTCAGTCACTAAGCGTTACGTCACACTGATAGGTTGATGTCCAGTCACAACACTAGATCTAATCATTGTTTGATTACCTACTGCGACGAAAGCCCTGAAATAAATGTTATTTTGATGACGTTCAACACCTCATGAACTATTTCTTTGTTCCAGGTTTGTGATGACGGAAAGTTGTAACAAGCAGAAAATCACAGTACACAATATATTTCCACCAGTTTATTAGTTAGCGTTACAATATTCGTTGAGTAGGTTCACGGTGATAGTTAATACATCTAATGATTAATCTCACTGTATTTGGTGTTGCGTAACTGTAGATTTCTCCATGCCGAATCACCTAAATAGTTCCTTTTGTTACATCTGTCAACTTGCACTATTTTCTATTGACTTAACCAAAGTTAACCTCATTCCCCAAGAGCTATTTCCTGAAAATTCTAGTAGGAAGCCGTGACCAGTGGATTTCAACTGGGTCTGTTGTGAGATAGTAGCTCACTAAGGACAATGGTGGATGGTGGCACAACTTCATGGATTGGTTGAACTTAGATATTAACACCGTTGGATGCCGTCCAGCTCAGTGGCCTAGAGGTTAAGCGCTCTTGCGCGTGACTGATAGGTCCTGGGCTCGAATCTCGAGAGACGGGATCGTGGATGCGTACTGCTGAGTCTCATGGTGGGACGAAACGGCCGTCCAGTGCTTCCGAGTTTTCCATGGTGATCTAGCTTCAAATGACTCATGAATTCAACTATTAAATTTAAATTATATGACAATACTTATATAATATTAATTATTTGTCAATTAATTTTCTCTCTGAATTATACTTACTAGTCAACTATCAATCATATCATATAGGTCAGATTAAGGTGATGTTTTATTTCCTCTTCCCAAAAATGAATTTTAATGAAATTAGATTAGAACTATGATAGAAGTCCACGCATATACGTGTTGATCAATTGGCTTAAATCACTTAACCACGAGATTGTTTCTATTTTATTTGGATAGTTGACTTTTGATAATTAAATCATGAGTTTAATTCTCACTTTTTATTTTTGTTTGAATAGATGGTTGTTAGT